TACCGAAGATTTCTCCTTAACTTGACTTGCTGTTTCTGTTTTACCCTCATCCTAAACCATGATACCTGGAATCCCAGGCTTGCTGGAGCGACAAGAGCTGCCTGTGGTCGGGTGTTGTGTGCCAGGCACAGTTCCAAGCCCTTGACATTTCATGAGTTTCTCATGCACAGGCCTGGAATAGCTCTTGGCACATAAGCTTAAAAAAACCAAACCAAACAAAACAAAAACAAGTTGGGCGTGGTGGCACATTCCTGTAATTCCAGCTACAGGGAGCGCAGGAGCACCCCTTGAGCGCAGGAGTTCCAGGCTGCAGTGAGGACCTGCTGTGACCACACCACTGCACTCCAGCCTGGGCGACAGAGCTAAACTCTGGCTCAAAAAAAAACAGGGTCAGTTTTCTTGAATCCTCATGGTGATCCCCATCCCACAGATGAGGAAACTGAGGCACAGAGACTTCTTGCTCAAGTTCCAAGAGGAGGGCCTCATGGAGCTTATGAAAATGAAAGCAGATCCCCTCCTCTTTTGGGTATCAGGATCCTTGCTTTCCTGTCTGTCTGTTTCAACTTTCTCCTTTTTCACCAAAGAAAGTAACAGTAACTGACAGCTCTAAGGGGCTCACATGGGCCAGCGGTGAAGCTCTAAGGCTGCACCGGGACACTGAGGACAGCTTTCCAAAGGTGATACTATTATCACCAACCCTTTTACAGATGAGGAAAGGAGGGGCCCAGAAGAGGCCACCCAGGCCTCCTCCCTTCCTTTTGGGTCCCCTCCCAGCTCCCTTTCCAATACACACCTCCCTCTCCCTAAGGGCCTTCTAACCCGAGGCTTGGGGGTCCTTACTCCAGGAGATCTCTGCTCCCTTCCTGCCCTGCAGCCTCTCCCCCCATGTGCCTCCCCCCACTCCACCCCCATCATTGCGCTGCCCCTCCTTTTGTCCCCAGGGAATCTGCTGTGGAGGGAATCCCCCTCCCTCCCAGGCCTCCCCACTCTTTGCTGACTTCCCTGATCCTCCCACCAAGTCTCTACCTTTCATTCAGCCTCCCCAAAGCCCCTGCTCACCAAGCACTCGGAGCCAGATATCCACGCTCCTGCTGCCCTGTGGGAACGTGACGAACAGGCAGGTGTAGTTGCCTTCATCCTCGACGCGCAACCCGAACATCCTCAGTGAGGCATCCCGCAGCTCTGTACCCAGTCTGGCGGCCACGAATTCCAGCCGTTTGGGCTCCGAATAGTTGGGGCCCTGCGTTTGGTGGAAGACGGCCATGCTGCCGGATTCACCATGCCGCGACCAAGTCAGCTGTGACACGTGCGTCACCTCCATGTCGGGCACCTGTAGGTAGCAGGGCAGCGTCACGGAGTCGCCCAAGAAGCCGGGCACCTGGGTGGGCGCCTGCACGATGATGTCCCCTGCAGAGAAGCGAAGAGAAGGTGTTAGACCCGGGGCGTTCCTGGGCTAGATAGTGAGGGGCTCCGGGAGCCCGGGCACCTGGGCGTGCAATTGCACGTGGGGCCCTGGAGCCCTGGTGGATGGTGGGGTGTGGGGGGAGGGGGAACTGGGGCACTAGTTGGGGTCAGGGCAGGCAAGGAGGGTAAGGGCGTCCGGGATGGTCTGCAACTTGGCCGTGTTCCTTCACTTTGGCTATTTATTACTATATTTCTTCTATTATTACCGTATTTCCCTCAATCTCAACATTACTGATTTAAAAAATTGTGGCAAATATTGTGGTTAAAAAACTAAATTTACCATTTAAGTCATTTAAAGCACACAGTTCAGTGGCACTACGTACATTTCACGATGTTGTGCAACCGTCACCATTATACAGCTCCAGAACGTTTTCTTTTCTTTTTTTTGAGACGGAGTCTCGCTCTGTCGCCCAGGTGGAGTGCAGTGGCACGATCTCTGCTCATTGCAAGCTCTGCCTCCGGGGCTCAAGCAGTTCTCCTGCCTCAGCTTTCTGCGTAGCTGGATGACAGACTCCCACCACCACACCCGGCTAACTTTTTAATTTTTTTTTTTAGTAGAGATGGGGTTTCACCATGTTGGCCAGGCTGGTCTTGAACTCCTGGCCTCAAGTGATCCTCCTGCCTCGGCCTCCCAAAGTGCTGGGATTACAGGTGTGAGCCACCGCACCTGGTCCAGAACTTTTTCATCACACTGGTGTCGTAGCTTTCACATACCATGACTGTCGTTATTTACAGCACAATTGCCATTAGGGGTTAGAATACCCCCAATGTAGAAAATGGGGAGAAATCCTGGATCTTCAAATCCATGAAAGGCTGTATTATTACTCTGGGTGGATCCTGGCTGGAAGAATGTGGGGGATCGTGGCACAGGAGGAAGGCAATTATAGTGAGGCTTCAGGCCGGTTACTTAACCTGTCTGATTCTTTTTCCTAGTTTGTAAAATGAGACTTAGAACAGTGCACACTCACAGGGTGCTGACACAGACCAGGGGCTATTCTGGGTGCTTCACATATATCTTGGCATTTAATCCTCAAATAGCCCCCTGAGGCCAGCACTACTGTTAATATCATTTTACAGACAGGGAAACTGACACAGAGTATAGCGTCCTCCAAGTCATACAGAGGTTTAGTGGCAGAGGTGGGATTTGAACTCGGGTGGTCAGAGACTGACCTCTAACCTCCCAGGTCCTATATAAAAATCTTTCTGCTAAGGGCCCTAGCACATAGTAGGTCCTCAACATGTGTCAGTGCTTATTGACACTAATAAACATAGTCTTATGCATTCTTTTTTTTTTTTTAATTTTTTTAATTTTTATTTTTTGTGTGTGTGTGCGGTATTTATTTCAAATGTTTGTTAAAACAGCACTGTTATTTCTCAGGACAAGAGCAAAGATCACTCCCTGCAGAAGCTTGGGAACTATATACAGAACTTTATAGAACAAAGGCAATACTTTAGCTTAAGCCTGTCTGCTGACCAGAGAATGGAATTCTGTGTGGACTCAAGGAACAAAAGGAAACTAGGCAGGGAGAGGGAAGAAAAGTGCCCATCTGAATAAAACTTCAGCCGCTATCAGGGCACATCTTCTGGTGGTCACAGATTGTAGGCTGTTTTTTGGAAGATTCGGGTTCAGCACAGGATTCCATTTGTCTACTTGGCTATACCCCCGGCTGAGGTGCCATGAGGTCGATGTCACTCCAGTTCCTGGCCAGCCAAACTCCGGCAGCAAAGAGTCCCAAATTTAGTATCAAGTTCCTCCAGAAGTCATTCCTATCAGTGGCAAAGCGGTATACGCCCCAAAGCCAATCTCCCACGTTGTCCGGTATTTTGGGAGTTTCATTAGCCGAGCCAGCAGCGCTCACCTGGACCCCACAGGAAGCCATAGTAGCAAGCTTCGCATGGGCCTCAGTGGAGGTTTCTTTTTTATTTTTAAATTTTTATTTAGCTAATTATTTTTGTAGTGATGGGGTCTTGCCATGTTGCCCAGGCTGGTTTTGAATTCCTAAGCTCAAGTGATCCTCCCACCTCAGCCTCCCAAAGTGTTGGGATTACAGGCATGAGCCACTGTGCTTGGCTGCAATCAGCCTGGGCAGCATAGAGAAACCCTATCTCTACCAAAAATACAAAAAAATTAGCCAGGTGTGGTGGTGAGCACCTATAATCCCAGCTACTCCAGAAGCCACAGTGAGAGGATCACTTGAGCCTGGGAAGTCCAGGTTGCAGTGAGCCGGGATGGTGCCACTGCACTCCAGCCTGGGCAACAGAGCAAGACC